GACGATAACCATCACTAATTCCATCACGAACCATTATATTCTTGATGGTAGACAATATAAGTAACCATCGCCCTAAAGTAGAAACTCGGACTGATTCATGATGGTCCAACGTAAGAATAGCAATTTGTTTAGATGATTTGTTCATGTTGAATCATCGGAAATTTTTCATCATAGTTTTTTAGAGATAAAATGCTGAAACGATCATGAACCTCCATCACTCCCATGTAGAAAATAAGATTCATTTTTGCTGGGCCAACATAAAAAAAAAGGCAAAACAAATTTATTTGGTGGTATATTCCTGAGAACCAACAAGAATTCCCATTAAACAATCATAAAAATGTACAGTTGGACCATCACAGATCTTCATGGATTGTTGGTCCATGAGAATCAAACTTCTCTTGATTGCTAACCATCATAGTATTAAAGTAGCATTTTCCATCATGGAATGTTGGAAGTTTGTTGGAATATCAAAAACCATGTACGCATAATGGAGAATATTGGGTGATGGGGACCATCAAAAGACTTTGAACCATCATAAGTTGCACTGAAACCAACATTGACCATCAAAAAGTTTTGATGGAGCCATCAAGAATTTTGATTAGGATAGCACGTGAAAGAGCCGGAAACATACAAAATACACGATTTTAAGAACTTCTCATAAACGTTGGGAAAATGTGATGTTGTGATGATGCCAATGATGTGTCGTAGAAAATACAGAGATGGCTTAGCATTGTTTAAGATAAAACTAATCAGATTGATGGCAAAAACTATATAGAGTTGTCTTTTCGGCTGTTACAAAACTAATAGTCACAGCTGTTAGGAGAGATGAAATTTACCTAACCATGCAAAGTTTGGGGTCGGAAAGCAAAGGGTTAGCCAGGACCCTTTCTCTGGAGTGGTTGAAATGTTGCTTTTCGCAGAATTCATCATTCACATGCTGGTCATCGTTACATAGGCAGTAATATTTGTTGCAGAGAGAAGATCTGTTTTTAAACAGTACGCTACTAGACCGACTAAACGTTGAAACCATAGACGTTCGGAAAATACAAGGAATTTTCGAATTGCTAGTGGTTCATTGGTATTAAAGTTAATGGTCGCCTAAATGGTGCACTACTATGCTTTGAAGTTGGAAGTCGTTCATTTAAACATGAATTGTAATTTTTATCATTATTAATCATTATTATTTATCATTATTATTTATCATTATTATTTATTATTATTACTTATCAATAATATTATCATTATTATTATCATTTTATTCATTATTATTTATCATTTTTATCATTATTATTTTAAGATTCTTCTAGAGTAAGTTCAAGACTTTTTATAATTTCCATTTTCACCAAGTAAGCAACTTATTGATGTTTAACCTTTGCTTTTCGACCACTTATTGTATTATTAAAATTGATTACTTCGCAAGCTAAATCACGCCATACAACAGTAGGCCATAATTTTAACATTTATGCTTTTATGTTTTCAAAATGTCATGTTTTCTAATAATTTTTGTTAAAAGTTGCATTTGAAATTTTAATGGCTCTTATAGTTATTTAATGATTTGGCAACTAACTTGACAAGCTCATCGAGTTGTTCGCAAAATAAAATTACTATATAAATGTATTTCTTAGAGTCGCAGAAAGCAATTTATAACAATGAAGGCACGAAAAGTAAGTACATAATAGAAATACGCCTCTAGGGGCGTACGATGGTCATTTAAGCTATTGAATGGAATCACCCGTGTATATATTTGCAGAAATCAAAAGATTACAATTAAAACAATCTGTACTATCTTAAACGAAACTATCTAAACATTAATTGATAATAAATCTCCAACACAACATAAATATGTCTACTTTTCACAATTTTATGTAGAATTAATTTAGAAAATCTTATGTTGCTCTTTAGAAATTTTCATTAAAAATTCTTAGGTCTCATATTCAACCTAGATCAGAATCATAGTTTTTTGTCTGTAGTCCTTGTTGGATGACTTTTTTTTGGCGGAGCTAACACGCATTTGCGTTACATGGAGAGGAAGACCACATGAATCTCCCACGTTTAGCCTGACAGCACAGGAACTCTAACCCATGTTCCGTCTACCACTGAGCATATTTCACGTCAGCATTGTGATCGGTGCTAGCCGGATGTGGATTCGTATCAACCAGCCATCGATGGGAACGTTGCTGTAATAATGGAGTTCATGGTACTGACACTCAAAGTACCGGCAATCTTCTTCTAAATATTATCTAGAATTTTTGACAATGCATAAGTATCTTCTATTTTTGTACATTCGGAATATTTATTTTCGTAGACTATCCGGAAGCTCAGAAAATATCTTTTCAAGAATCTTTCCATCTTAGTTACCTGAAAGAAATAGTTTCGCTTTCTTCCATGTTTCGATACTAAAGTTACGTAAAGGGTTACCTTCAACAAGGATGAAAATGGTCATCTCTAAACTTTTTTTTTAATTACGGCAGGCACTGAACTTTCGTTCTTCACCTAAGAAGATACCGGAAGTTTTGCTCATTTATCGTTACCCGGTGGGCACCTGTGAGCCAAAGTCACGGAGGCGAGCAACATTACCCACGCCACACTGCCTCAAATACCCATTCATAGGGTGGGCCTCATTCGTACATTCACACATCAGGAGACTACACAGAGAGAGAGAGAGAGAGAAACATCCATGCCCAGAGCTGGATTCGAGCCCGCAGCCATTGGCTTCGCAGTCAGGCACGCTAACCACTCTGCCACCTGGCTGGCTCATCTCTAAACTAGATGAGCGTAAACACGGGCTTAACTCATGAATGTCTCATATTCAGCCTGAAATAGAAGAAGAATACTTCACGCAATGTAAAAAAAAAATTCTGTTCAATTCGGTAAAAAGTACTGGTAACCTTGTTCCAGCATCTGTAAAATCCCTTTTACAGTAAAATCAAGTTTGCTGTAAAATTCATTTTTACCATAAATTCATTTTTATCGTAAATTGTTATCCGTTATTTTTACAGAAATATTTATCTAAATACACTGATTCAGTACTTTAAATGTAAAATTTAGTGTAAAGAGTAAAATATATCAGATTCTTATTACGTAAAATTTTAAGGCAATAATGAAGTCTACAGTAAAAAGTACTAAACTCTTAAATGCTGGTATTTTTTATAGATATTTGATTCGGAATTTTTTACAGTATATAAGTTTCTTCTATTTTTGTATATTCGGTAGATTTATTTTGGTAGACTATCCGGAAGCTCAGAAAATATCTTATCAACATTCTTTCCATCTTAGTTACTTGAAAGAAATAGTTTCGTTTTCTTCCATGTTCCGATACTAAAGGTTATGTTAAGGGTCACCTTCAACAAGGATGAATATGGTCATCTCTAAACTAGATGAGCGTAAACTCGGGCTTAACTCATGCATGACTCATATTCAGCCTAAATTAGATGAAGAATACTTCGCGCATTGTAAAAAAAATTCAGTTCAATTCGGTAAAAAGTACTGGTAACCTTATTGCAGCTTCTGTAAAACCCCTTTTACAGTAAAATCAAGTTTACTGCAAAATTCATTTTCGCCATAAATCCATTTTGACCGTAAAATGTTATCCGTTTTTTTACAGTAAAATTTATCTAAATACAGTGATTCAGTCATTTTAGTGTAAAATTTAGCATAAAGAGTAAAATATATCAGATTCTTATTACGTAAAATTTTAAAGCAATAATGGAGTCTACAATAAAAAGTACGGAACTCCTAAATGCTGGTATTTTTTATAGATATTTGATTTGGAATTTTTTACAGTATATAAGTTTCTTCTATTTTTGTATATTCGGGAGATTTATTTTGGTAGACTATCCAGAGGCTCAGAAAATATCTTTTCAGGATACTTTCCATCTCAGTTACCTGAAAGAAATAGTTTCGCTTTCTTCCATGTTTCGAAACTAAAAGCAATGTCAAGGGTTAACTTTGTCTAGGATGAAAAATGGTTATCTTTAAACTAGATGAGTGTCTGGAAAAAAAAAGAGTTTTACGACGCTGCTTGTTTAGTTTTGGCCGTTGAAAAATGAGAATCCTATTTCTTCCTTGCGGCAAAGTTATATGTCTGATTATTTCCTTTTACTTTACTGGAAACTTAACTTTCTTTTTATCATTTGTCTGCTGAAAAAAATGATGCTTCCATGCATGAACTGTTTTATTATGAAGGCAAATATTTTGTTTGATTTGAAAAATATCTTTTAACATTAAGATATTCTAAATTTCCTTTGTTTAATTTTTATATGGCTACACCTGGTTGAAAAAATACATAAATAGAATAATTATAAAACGTAAAAAGTACACTGAAAAAAAATTATTGTAAAATCTATCAGAATATTATATATAACTTTATCATATTTTTGGCTTTATGTTAACACCAAAAAGCTTGATGACTAAAGCGTTTAAAAAAATTGACAATTAAATATGGTTTAATAATTTGGTAAATAGTGTAAAATTTTGCAACTTTATCATGATATCTTAGAGCAAGAACCATAATAACCCTTTTTTGGTTTAATTTACATTTCAGTTTTGTTATTTTTCAACAGATTTTTCTCATTTGTCTGCTGAAAAAAAATGAGGCTTTCATGCATAGACAATTTTATTATGAAGGCAAATTAAAATATTTTGTTTGATTAAAAAATATCTTTTAACATTAAATTTTCTAAATTTCTTTTGTTTCAACTTTATATGATTACGCCTGGTGGAAAGAAGTACATAAATAGAATAATTATAAAACTTAGAAAGTACACTGAAAAAAAATATTGTAAAATCTATCAGAATATTATATATACCTTTACCATATTTTTGGCTTTATGTTAACACCAAAAAGCTTGATGACTAAAGCGTTTAAAAAAATTGACAATAAAATATGGTTTAATAATGTGGTAAATGTTGTAAAATTTGGCCACTGATACCTTAGAGCAAGGACTATAGAAGCCCTTTTTCGGTTTAATTTACATTTCAGTTTTGTAATATTTTGACAGGTTTTTGACGTCAAAAACTCAACTCTGCTGCAGACACTGTACAATTGAGAGCAAACGCACTCGTTGGGATGACCGTATACAACTATGTGGCGATGAGCACTTAAAAGTTGAGACTTACATTCGATGAGACTTCGATGGAATTGTAAATCTGAATAAATGAATTGTAAGGTAAAAATCTGCATACATTTTCAGCTCGGAACCTAAATAAATTTGAATGACTCGCTTCTTAAACGTTTTATTCTTTTCATCCGAATATTTTACATCTCGGCCTTTTTTTGAAGCTCAGAATATTCTTTTTCTGATCCATTCATTTTTCGTTAACTGAAATAAATAGTTTCTTTCCTGAGTTTACTTTCTCCTATGATTTCGAATCTAAAAGTTATGTCAAGGGTTTACTTAGTCTACGAGGAAAAATTGCTGTTTTTAAAGTAGTTGATCTTCTAAAAAACAAGTTGGGTGACACTGCTTGCATTTGTTGTTCTGGACTTTTCGAGAATAATGAAAATCTTATTTTTACTTTCTGCGGAAATATACGCCTCTCCATTACCTTACTTCAAGTCAGACTTGTCCTCTCATTTTTTTTCATAGTCAGATTTCTAAAGTTCTGAAAGTTAAAATTATTCAAATAAATTCAAATTCAATAAATATATTCAATAAATAAATAAATTCTAAAAGTTAAAATTATTCAAATTTTTTCCTTTGTATAAAACATCAAGTTCGGATAAATATTTTTTACACATAATGTATAAATTTACTCCTTACATACATTGTTCCTACTTAAAAAAATGAGTAGAGAAAGAAACACAATATACTTGATGTTTGTTATTTGTTTGCTCAGTTTCTGTAAAAATAGTACGTTGTATCAACTTAACATATATGTTGCTTATTAAAATCCTTTTTGTTTTTAAGCTAATATACATTAAATATTGCAAATAATTTTTGTATAACTTAATAAGTAAAAAAAGAAGAAACTATATTTTGAACAGCTTATAAAGAGAATTAGTACTTATGTCAGTTCTTTCTCACAAGTTGTGCAATAATTTTGTTAAAACACGAACAATCAAAAGAAGTTTATAAGAAGTCAAGATTGTTTCAGCACTCAAATCGGAACGGTAAATTTTGTGATTTAGACAAATAATAAATCTTTACATTTTCAACTTTTTCTTCATTCACTTTTGCAATACTACGAAGAAAAATTATTGTATAAATCATAATTCGTTGAGACGAGCGGTAATTGCGCAAAAAAGAAATGTGGTAACGATCCTATGATACTTTTTTATTTAACGGGTTTTCACACACTACGCTAAATATTAATGTCTAAAAATGGTCATTGTATGAATGCAAACTAGCTTTATTTAGGTTCGGAAACTTCAAAAATGAACTTTTAAAAATATTTAACAAAACACATCTATGCAAAAAAAAAAACGCGGATGCCTGCATTTGCAAAATCTTTAAAGACTTGTACACATAGAAAAAATTCTAGTTAAAGTAGCGTATTACGGTCGTGACATTTCTGATAAGAAAAAACACAATACTGGTTAATAAAAATAAAATAAACGGTATTCAAACCGTTTTTTTTTTTTCTTAAATCTTTCCGCTTATATAGCAACAATTTACCGGAAATTCTGATTTTCAAAATTATCGCTCTGATTACTACCCATTTAATAAAAATTAAAAAAAAAATGAAAGAGCAAATGGTTTTTACATCATGCTCTAAGATATCATGATAAATTTCTAAAATGTTGTCACATATCATAAAACTGTATTTCATTGTTAATTTTTATTGTTAATTTCATTGTTAATCATTACAAAGAGTTTCATTAAAAATTACCGAGCTTTCTGGTATTTTCATAAAGAGAGAACCACAGTAAATTCTACCATTTCCTGGAAGATTTGACCATAACATTTTTCTCATTGTTCCCCCAAAAAGTTTGCATTTAGTAAAGTTTTTTTTTTTGATAGAATAAAGATTGATACACTGCAAAAAATTTTGAGTACTGGCACTCAGGACCGGTACATTTACAGTAAAATTATAAATTAAAGTGGATTTAGAGTGGATTTTAATTAAATTAAATTAAATTAAAGTGGATTTCATGGATAATGCATTTAGATTGTTAATAATATTTACCGTAATTTGATCCGGATCTCTTTAGAGTGTAGCTGTTTAAGTTTGCAAAGTCTAAAAAGCTGTAGGGAATGTATTCTTTCACTTGTAATATGCTTTTAGATGTACAGGAGATAATATAATTGAAAGAATACAAATATTACTGTAATAACTCTATGTGAACAATTTTTCTTAAAGCCGAAAATGTTTCAGAAAGCTTACGTGGTACAAGTGTTGGCATAATCTTTCAAGCATAATCCTTCAAATTGTCCTAACACTTTTGCCTTTTAAAATCTTCCGAAACATTAGCTGCTAAGGGAATTTTTTTTTACGTAGAGTTAGTACTGAAGTGTTTCCATTCTTTTGTACAATGAGCCTTGATGACTCAAGGGATAGAGCACTCGTCTGCTAATGAGGTTTTTTTTTTATAAAAATAGCAGTGATATTTTTGTTAAAATAAAGAATTTTGTTTGTTAAAACAAAAGCGCTTTTCTTCTTAAAAAAACAGATTTCCGTTTTTAAATAACAGTATTTTTCTGTGAAATAAACAATTTTATTCTGGCACATCAGCTGACAGTTTTTTTTCCATAAATTTAACAGGTTTTATTTTTCAGAAAAAGAAGAATACTGAGAATGAATTATACTTTTCTCAAGATACAATTCCTAAAATATAGTTTATCATTAAGAGATAAAGAGTTATATTTCTAAAGCTTCAAACCTTTTAAAGCATCTGGTTGTTGTGAACTTTTTTCCCAAAATCACTACGATCGATAGAAAATGAATAAGTTTTCCTTCTTAACTCAAATTGGGTTTCTTACTCGAACTTTGGATGTGAGAAAAAAAGCTGGGATGCTTTTTTTTAGCTGAAATAAATCGAATTTTTGAAAGCACTTTCTATATTTTTACTTTTTTCCTTTCTAAATAAAAAGGAAGGAAAAAAATGATAGGCATTTCCAGATTTTTTTTAAAAGAAAGAAATAAACTGTTGCACGAAGCTAATATTTTATCACCCTTTTTTTCTGGATATCGCTTAGGGCTTTAAAATTTTATTTAGTATTGGCCAATTTGGAAGTACAAAGTAGGCTTGATATGAATCGATTATAAAATTGGATTGACAAAATTTTATATGGAAAACGTTAAAAAGAGCATCGATACTCGGTGCTACGATAAATTATTTGGCACAGTTGATTGCGTGAACCCATTATTTGCATATAATCTTCTTAAAAATAAAACAGAAAACGAAAAATCTGTATTTTTTTATTTATTTACAAACGTACAGCTGACGAAAATTGAGTTGTAATAAATTCCCGAAACAAGGAATTGTGGTTTTTTACCAGAAATGTAAGGTAATGGCATTTCTGGTAAAAAATCACAATTCCTTGTTAATAAAAGCAAAAAGCACAGTATTAAAATCATTTTTTCCAATGCCCACCTGGAGACTGACCTTTGGTCATACAGACATCGGAAGAGCATATTTGTTGGCCACAGTTTCAAGGGCACCATATTACGTGGGTCAACGCTGCTCCCACAGTAAGGACAGATAGTGTATAGACTGAAAGAACCTCCATGCCTTGCCCGTGATTCGGGCCCAGAACCTTTATGATGCAAGGCTAGTTCCCTAACCCCTACACAGAACAGTCGGCATATTTAAATCATTCATATGGTAATTTTCCGTTCATATGGTAAAGGTTTACCGAAAAATTCTGGTTTTCAAAATTATAGCTCTTATTACTACACATTAGGTAAAAAATACAAAACTGGGTAGTAAATTTAGCGTTTTTTATTCCATGCTCTAAGGTTTCATGATAAAAATACCAAATTTTCCAATTTTATCACATGTAATGAAACCCTATTGTATTGTTAGTTTTACCACTATCACACTAAAGCGTTTCGGTAAAACTTACTGAGCTTTATATTTTTCCCATAAAACCTTAAAATGCGGTATAAATTTAATCACATTCTGATAGTTTTTATATGGGAAATAGATCCCTTAAATTTTGATATGTTGTAGTTGAAATCCTCTTGATCAAATGTTCCCATGTGCCCCATGTTTTAAAATGAATAGATTTTGAGTTACAGAGATATCACATAAAAAATACAGAACTGAACTGCAAATTTATATGAATAAATATTTTTTGCGGCGAAATGCGCTAAGGTTCAATAATAAAAATAACCCATTTTTAAAAATTTTATCACTTATAATAAAACCATATTTTATTGTTAATTTTACGAAAGTCGTTACTAAAGCCCTTTGGTAAGACTTACTGAGCTTTATGGTTTACCCATAGAATCTGAAACACGCTATAAATTTTATCACATTGTGATCATTTTTATATGGGAAATGAGTAATTGAAATTTAGAGAAAATGAACAGATTTTGAGATACAGAGTTTTCTCATTGGTATCTTTTATCCGCAGGATTTCAAGTTCAAGAAATCAAAACCAAATCGACTGACACCAATTCCTATATAAAATGTGCAGAGACGAGAAATGTACAGGGAGTGTGCTGAAATAAAATTTAACATTCGATAGTTTTAGTTCAAGAATTAATAACTGCTAAGCCTGTAGTGAAAAATAATGTATACACATCCCTGCAGGCCACGGAAATGCAAATACGGAATTTAAAATTAACGTGGCAAAAGAGCCATTTTTATTTATGACGTTTACATGAGTTACTTTGAATGGTACTGAAATTTTAATTGTTCTTTTTCTTTTAATTTATTCAATTTTTTTGTTTTACGTCACATTTTGTTTTTGTTTCAGAAAACTATCAAAATATAAAACTTGAAGCTAAGAAGGTCTGCAGTAAAAAAATAATGGTAAAAAAATAATGTTTACCAATTAGTGGTGAGCAGAATTAATAGGAAATGCAGCCTCATACCATTTTAAAAATATGCAGTTACGCCACTTTCACAAGAAACGAAAAATCTGTTTGGTAAACTTTTCTAAACATGATTTTCTCTTTTTCCCCAAGTTAATTATGTTTAAGTAAGGAATTGTTTTATTTATGTTTTATATTTTCTTGAATATTTGAAACCTCATATCTTTAGGCTCTACAAGTAAAC